CTTATATTACTTATAACTATTTTTTATGTTAGACAAAAAAATGAAAATGTGATGGTATGATTTTTGTGCTCTAACAACTAAAGTTAGCCTAGATATCAGAGTGCAGAGTTAGACAAGAGTTAGCTAAAGAGACCAGGCAGTGCTGGGTCACACCTTTAATCCCAGCAATCAGGAGGCAGAGGCAGACAACTTTCTGCAAATTAATGGCCACTCTGGTCTACACAAGATTGTTCCAGACTCACCCACCCCCAAGAAGAAACATAGCCATGCAATAGTAGCTCACACATTTAATCCCTGAATCTGGGTGTCACATGCCTTGAATCCCATTGCTAGGGATGTGGAAAAAGGAAGGGTTATGTATGAATGGATAGGGGAATATAAAGCAGAAAGAGAGCTTAAAACTTTCAGTCTGAGGATTTGGTAGAGACAAGATTTTGCCCTCTTGGCTGTGAAAATTTTGAAGAGGTACAAAGTAGTGCCTTGTTGCTCTGCCTCTCTGATCTTGTAGCATTCAATTCCTAACATCTGACTCTGAGTTTTTATTAGTACTTGAAAAAGTGTCCTTGTGGTGGGATTGAGCATCCTTTCCATATATGCCCAAGAGTAGTATCTCTGGGTCTTGAGGTAGACTGGTTCTTAATTTTCTAAGAAAGTGCCTAGCTTGTTTCAGAAGTGGCTGTACAGGTTTTCACTTGTGCCAGCATTAGAGGAATGTTTACCTTATTCACCTTATTCCATATCTTCTCCAACAAAATCTACCATCAGTGTTTTTGATCTACCCCATTCAGACAGGTGTAAGATGGTATCTCAGAGTCGTTATGATTTGCATCCCTGATGACTAAGGATGTTGAGCAAATTTTCAAATGTCTTTTGGCCATTGAGATTCTTCTGCTGAAAATTCTCTTTTGAGAACTATATCCATTTTTCAACTGAATTATTTGATATTTTTATGTCTAGTTTCCTGAATTCTTTATATATTTTTGAGATCAGCCTTCTGTCAGATGTAGGGTTGGTAAAGACCTTTTTCCATTCTTTAGTCTGGTATTTTGACTTATCGACCATTTCCTTTGCTTTACAGAAGCTTTTCTATTTTAGAAGGCACAATTTATTAGTTGTTGATCTCACTGTCTGTGCTACTACTATTAAAACCAAGAAGTAGTCCTGTGTGCCAATGAGTTCAAAACCATTTTACACTTTCTCTTCTATCAGGTTAAGTGTAGTAGGATTTATGTTGATGTCTTTAATCCACTTGGAGTTGAATTTTGTGCATGGTATCATATATAGATCTATTCTACATAGAACATCCAGTTATGACATTAGTTGAGTAATTTTGAATTCTTTGTCAAAATTTGAATAATTTTGAATTCTTTGTCAAAATTCAGATGTTATTATAAGTCTATAAGAGTGTTTGAAATCACAGATAGTGATGCCTCTGGATGCATCTGTTGTACTAGATTCTTTTTAGCTGTCCACCCCCCCCCCATGAATTTGAGTATTGCTGTTTTGAGGTCTGTGAAAAATTGTGTTGGGATTTTGGTGGTGTTACATTGAATGTGTCAATTGCTTTTGGTAAGACTGTCATTTTTACTCTGTTAATCCTACCTCTCCAAGAGTATGGGAGATCTTTTAATTTTGCTATATTTTGTTCTTTTTCTTTTTTCAATGGCTTAGCATTCTTTTCATGCAAGTCTTTCACTTGTGTGATTAAATTTAATCCACAATATTTTGTATTATTTGTGGATATTAAAAAAGCTGTTGTCTCTCAAATTTCTTTCTTAGATATAGTTTATAAAGGTATTTATAAACTATAGGAGTTCCCTAGGAACATTTTGTGTGTTGGTTTTGTAAACTATGATATCATTGGTGAATCAAATTTCTTTGCCATATCCCTTTCTAATTTCTATCCCATTAACCTCCTTAAGTCATCCTATTGATCTATCTACAACTTCTAGTACTATATTTAATAGGTAAGGAGTAAGGTGACAACTTGTTTTGTACCCAATTTTACTAAAATTGCTTTGAGTTTCTCTCCATATAATTTTATGTTGGGTATTGGTTTGCTGTATCTTGCCTTTATTATATTTATATATGCTCTATGTATCCCAGATTTCTCCAATTCTTTTATCATGAAGGAATCTTTGATTTTGTCAAAGGCTTTTTTTTTCAGTATATAATGAGATAATCTTCTTTTGTCTTTCAGTTTGTTTATGTGGTGAAATATATTGGAAGGTTTTCATGCTTTGAATCATACCTGCATCTCTATAATGATTTGTACTTGTTCATAAAAGATTTTTTAAAATATTTTTTTGGATTCCATTTGAGAGCATTTTATTGAATATTTCTGCATCTATATTCATAATATAAATAGTTCTATAATTCTCTATGTGTGGTTTGGGTATCAGGAGGACTATCACCTTATAAAATAAATTTAACACAGTTCCTTCTTTTTCTATTTTAAGAAGTAAAGGAGTATAGGTATTAACTTTTCTTTGAAATTTCAATAGAATTCTGCACTAAAAGCATCTGACCCTTGGCTTTTTTGGTTTTGAGAATTTCAATGAGTGCTTCTATTTTCTCGGAAGTTATAGATCTATTGAAATTGTATTTTTTGATTTTCTATTAAATATGGTAAATGCTATCTGGTGATATAAATGTTTAGTTCTTTTAGATTTTCTCATTTTGTGGATTACATATTTTTAAAGAATAACAAAATGAGTAGGCCCTGTTCCTGGACCTCGCAGCCAATAGGGAAGGGATGTGTGGAACAAAGAAGCCCCTGTAGCAGGAGCTGAAGGGGCCCAATGTGGGAGCTCACCAAGGTCAGCTGGACTGGGTCTGAATGAGCTTGTGATCAAACTGGACTCTCTGAATGTGGCTGACAATGAGGGTGTACTGAGAAGACAATAATAATGACGCTGGATTTTTATTCTACTGCATGTACTGGCTTTTTGGGAGCCTAGTCTGTTTGGATGCACACCTTCCTAGACCTGGATAGAGGGTGGCCTTGGACTTCCCACAAGGCAGGGTACCCTGAATTCTCTTAGGACTGGAGAGCGAAGGGGAGGGGGAGTGGGGGAATGGGGAGGAAAGGGGGAGGATAGCAGGAGGTGGAAATTTTAAATAAATTTTAAAAAAATACAATAAAAAATAAAAAAAGAATAACAAAATGATTCTTTGTATTTCCTAGGTGTCTCTTCTATGTACTTATTTTATTTCTGATTTTCTTAAATTGCATATTATGCCTTTGCCTTTTAGTTAGATTTAATGGGATTTGTCTGTCTTGTTTATTTTTCTCAAAAAATCAACTTTTTCTTTCATTGACTGTTTGTATGATTTTCTTCATTTCTGTTTATTGCTTTCATTCCTGTGTTTATTTTTTTCCGATCCTCAACTTCTCTTGAATGTGTTTGTTTCTTTTAGCTCTAGCGGTTTCAGGCACACTGATATGTCACTTGTATGAGGCCATTCTAATTGCCTCATGAAGAAAATAAGTGTTTTGAATTTTTCTCTTAGTACTACTCTAGTTGTCTCCCATAAATTTGGATTTGTTGTGTATCCATTTTCATTGTATTTCAGGACATCTTTAACTTCTGTCTATATTTCTACCTTAACCAAGTGGTAACTCAGTAGAGAGTTGATTAATTTCTCTTAGTTTGTAGCCTTTTTTTTTTTTCTGTTGTTGAAATTCAACTTTAATGCTCTGAGAAAATACAGGGGATTATTTCAACTTTGTTGTATTTGGTGAGATTTACTATGTGTCTAAGTATGTGGTGAGTTTTGTAGAAAGTTCTATGAAGGGCTGAGAAGTTATATATTTTTTTCATTTAGGTGAAATGTTCTGTAGGTATCTGTTAGGAATATTTGATTCCTAATTTCTGTTAATTTGATTTTATCTTTGTTAAGTTTATGTTTGGACTACCTGTCCACTTGTGAGAGTGGGGTATTGAAGTCTTTTACCATTAATGTGTATGGTTAAAGAGTTTATTAAACTTTAATAATGTCTCTACTGCAAATGTGGGTGATATTGCATTGGGCATAAATGTGAAGAACTGGGGTATCATTCTGGTCAATTTATATTTAATAATTATTAAATGTCTCTCTCCTTGTCTTTTGATTAAATTTTGACATATATTTTATTAAATATTACCTTAGCTAAACCAGCTTGGTTCTTAGGTTCATTTGATTTAAAAGTCCTTTTCAATCAATTTACTCTGAAACAACATCTATCTTAATTTTGAGGTTTGTTTCTTGTATAAAGCAGGATAGATGCTGTTTTCATATCTATTCTAGTAACCTGTTACTTTTTACTTATGAATTGAGTCCATTGATACTGAGAGATTATAATGATGTCTGTGTGTGTGTGTGTGTGTGTGTGTGTGTTTGTGTGTTATCCTTCTGTTAATTTTGGTTATGTGAGAATATCTACTGCATATGTTTTCAAGTGTTGCTAATTTGCTTGGGTTATAGTTTTCCTTTTCATACCTTTTGGATGGCTAATTGTTTAAATTTTAATTTGTCATGAAACATACTGTTTTCTCCATCTATGGTTACTAAAAATTTTACTGGGTAAAGAGACTTTAACCCATACTTTTTTCTTCAACTTAGAGTCCTTTAAGCTCATTTCAATAATGATTACAAATTTTTTCAACATTACTCATTTCTTTGATGTTCAGGCTGTTTTTACATATTTGATCATTTATTCAAGTTCCTACAGTGAACAGGCATCTTAGAAATATCATAAACAGAATGTGTCAATGTATTATGTAGCATTTCATTTCAATAATTAGAGATTGCAAACTTTTAGTTCTCAGTCCTTTTGGAAATGAGGCATATTTATAAAGCTATATTTTTTATATGTTCACAACAAAAGTTGTGATTTGAAAAATAAAGGACAGTATGGTTTTCTTTAATGTGGCCATTTTGCTTCTTTTACTGAACTGAATTGTTTATTGAGTAAGACTCAACTCTAAATTTACTCCTAATGTATCTTTTCTCTTTAGGAACATTTGTCATTAAGGTGACAGCCAATGATGCTGATGACCCTACAACTGGCTATCATGCGCGGATCCTCTACAACTTAGTACAAGGCCAACCATATTTTTCTGTTGAACCTACAACAGGTATTTTTTTTTTAAGATTTATTTATTTATTATGAATACAACATTCCTTCCATACATGCTTGCATGCCAGAAGAGGGCACCAGATCTCACTATAGATGACTGGGAGCCACCATGTGTACAACAGGTATTTGTGAATTAAAAAAAAAATGTAACCCTCTCTGTCTCCTAAGAAGAAAATGAGAGCACATATCACCTAGGTACAAACATGTTCTACAGAAGATACCATATTTCATCATTAGTTATGATGCCATTCCCTAATTGTTTAATTTTGCTGACACATAAACAGTGTTTCCATGATTCAAAGATTGGGCTATCTATATCATAGATATGGATTTTCCATATTTGATATAAAATATTTGTAATGATTCTTATAAATGTATCAGAGAAAAAGGGCAAAACAATTTAAAAATATGATAATTAGACATTACAGATAATTGACCAGATGACATTTGCCAAAAGTCTGAAAGCAGCTTAAAAATTTCCAACTGCAATAAACTCTAGGAAACTGGAGATAAATCCTCAAAGACATATATACATGACTAACCAGATATCTATGAATCACTATATAATATTAAATATGTGGTATCATATGATAAAGAAATTGCTTAAAACATATTTGGCACATTTTTGTCTTTGGGACAGGCTTATTTTACTTTTTATTAAACAAAGATTATCATTGCATTTCCTGATTATATTAATCATTTGAATATCCTTAAAATCAAAGTGGAGTTCAGGTGGATTTTTTTAAGTATGTATTAAAAACAATTAGTAGTTATTTTATAAATATTGCAAATGATCCTTACACATGCTAAACAGAAACTTTACCCAAAACTCTATTATCAGTTGTAAACATATCCACTGACTTCTAAATGTTTATATGACTCTACTTGTTCAATGAGTATTAACTATTACCTAGCAATTCAAAGCAAAACCTTTTTAAATCTTCCTCTTCAGAACTTAGAGGCCTTAAAGACTCAATATCCTAGCTAATTGTTACAAGATTTTCAAAGTAAACAAATGAACAAACTTCTGGTTATTATTAAAATAAAAAGACTTAAGTTCAAAAAAATAGTGTATTTTGCTAACCAATATTTTTTATGAATTTATTTGGAATATGTTGATATTTCTCTCTACCCTGTATTCTTGATACTAAAAAAGTATGGAATATGATGTTTTGTTGTATTGTGGTGGTAATAGTCTTACTTCTCTACAATATTATTTTATAGCTTATTATTTGGATTACTGAAAAGAGATGCTGATTTATTTTGTATAGTACCTCTTTTTTAAAGACATTTCTTTTTTAATAATATTTTTGTTATGTATTTTGATAGTGTTTCTTCTCTCTCAACCAGTTCTAGAAAATCAAATTTTCATTGCTATCCTAACCTCTAGCTTTATTCTCTCTCTCTCTCTCTCTCTCTCTCTCTCTCTCTCTCTCTCTCTCTCTTCAAAACAAAAAATAAAAGTAAAACCAAGAAAACAAAAACAAACAAACAAAATACATGAAAATGAAAACACATTAGTAGGCTTAGGTACAGCCCATGCTAGTCATAGGAATGGTGTTAAGAGGAGCACCTACCCCTCCTTAAGTTTACAAACCCCAAAACCCAACCCACTGTTACCCTTTTTTGACAAATGGACTTCTGGAGGCCTTCCCTTGACATTAGCAGTTGTAAATACTCACTTCTCATCTTTAGATCACACAAATCAGAAAAAGAGATACAGGCCATGTCACTGAGAAGAACAACTGGAGTGAGTACCAGTACCATTTTACTGAGAATATACTTGTGTTTATGATAAGAATCACAAACAAAGTTGGTGTTTAATTTTACCATTATTACAATTCTTTCAGTTAGCAGCTAGCATATAGCAGATTAACAGTTGCAGCATGGGATGCTTACAAAGTCAGACATAAAGTGGTCATGGATAATAACAATAGAAATTGTATTATTGTTTTAAAGGAGTCATAAGAATATCTTCTAAAATGGATAGAGAATTACAAGATACATACTGTGTAATTATCCAAGCCAGAGACATGCTTGGTCAGCCTGGAGCCTTGTCTGGAACAACAACTGTATCAATAATATTGTCAGATATTAATGACAACAAACCAATATTCAAAGAAAGTAAGTAGAAAGTTTCTTGGATTTCCATTATAATTTAAATCATTGTAATATACACAGATGCTAAAATTGTCTCTCTATATAGAACATTGAAGCAGTATGAAATTTACATAAAATAAATGTGTTAATTGTATATAGTAGAATTTTTCTAATTTAATATAAGAACACAAAATAGAGAAAGAGTATTGAGTCTGTATTCTACTGTTGTACTTACAAAGTGCCACAAACTGAAACTTATCGATCATTTTAAAACATTTTGGCTAGGTCTCACTAGGCTATAATCAAACACCACAGAACATTTTCTTATATCTTTTGGGCATGATCCTTTACTGTGTTCATGTCAGTGATGTTGACATTGTTCAGTTGTCTGCCTAGCTAGCACTAGACTCTTTTTTTTTTTTTTTCCTTAATGGCTGTTAGCTGAAAGACTAACCTAGGTTGTCTGCTAATTCTTGATTGACCAAATATCTCAGAGCATGTATTAAATATTTTTCACACTAGCATATCTAAGCACAATATTTTTGCCTATACATCTACTTCAGTGGGTTCACATGATTAGAGTAGGCCACAAAGTGAGTCATGGTAAACTGTATTTGTCAACATTACCTTATTAGCAAATTAACTCTTTCTGTAAGCCTGCTTCCTGTGACAGTTTCACTCAACCATTCTTGGCATCATAGAAATTGACATGAATACACCTTTGGAACTGTTTTTCTGCACATACAAATGATAATTTAACTTGAAGTTTTAGCTTTTCTTCTTTAGGAATAGAAGGTTCCATTTTCTCTGATTTTTTTTTTTATTGCAAATCCTCAATCATTTAAAGTTTCTTTAGTTTTCTTTTCTTAGGAAGTCTCTCCTTAGTAACAAAAATTCACTTAAAAACACTGTTAAAAGAATGGACAATTGTTAATTGCCATAATAAAATGATGTTTGGCAAGAACAAAACAAAGAATGAAGAGAATAGCAGATATATTTGTAGGATGCATTTTTGAGAAAATTTTGATAATTAAAGTAGATGTTACAAAAATCTCCAATTTCCAATAAGAGAGAAAATAATAAGTGTATATGCACATATGAGAGAGAGAGAGAGAGAGAGAGAGAGAGAGAGAGAGAGAGAGAGAGAGAGAGAGAGAGAGAAATATTAAAACCTAAAGCAGATAGCTTTCATGAAAGGCATAAATTTTCCTAGGAGTAGAAATAATATGATAAAGTTGGGAGATTCATATGATTAAAAACTTATCCTAAATAACTGGGATTTTAAAGGTTTCTACCGATTCACTGTATTGGAATCTGCACCCAGTGGAACATCTATTGGAAAAATTATGGCATATGATGATGACATAGGAGAGAATGCAGAAATGGAATATATCATTGAAGAGGATGATTCACAAACATTTGATATCGTCACTGATAATGAGACCCAAGAAGGTATAATTTTACTAAAAAAGGTACATATATTTAAATAAGAGTACAAAATCTCATAAAATACATATAATTATTTTGAGTTGTTGATTATTGTTTGCATCACTGATAATTGAACTCAGGGATCATGAAATGTATCTTGGAAATTTAATTAATTTAGAGATGAGCAACGTAGACACTTAAAGAACTTCTAAATTTTAATTTGTTCTTAAAATTATTTTAGAAAAAAAATTAAAAAACATTTAACTAACAAGAGAGTAATTCTCGGTTTTTCAATTTTTTTTCATTTTTCTCAAACTTTTAAGTTTTTAATTATGGAATTTTGGTTCTATTTTAAATAATAGTTATTTCAAATATGGTTAATGATCATAACCAATGACTTTTCAAATATTAAAATCAAACCTAGATGAAAAAATGGGACATGAATAAGTTAATGTTTCAAAGTAAAAATTTGGTTAACTGAAGTTATTTCTTCTAAACATCCTATATTTATTTGTAGAAAGTTGATTTTGAGCACCAGAGCCACTATGGCTTTAGAGTTAAAGTTAAAAATTGCCATGTGGATGAGGAACTTGCATCAGCCCATGTAAATTCCTCCTCAACGTATATTAAAGTTCAAGTGGAAGATGAAGATGAACCTCCAGTTTTCCTCTTACCGTATTATGTATTTGGAATTCCTGAAGAAAAGCCATATGGATCAATTGTTGGAACAGTATCTGCTATAGATATGGATCGAAAACAATCTCCCATAAGGTAGGTTTTTAGATTTACTCACATTAGCATTGTGTAAATAAATGACTGAGCAGGTTTGTATCAACTGATGTCCATTGAAAATGCAAAACAATTTTTTTCTAACTAGATCTTTATATATAAAAATAAGGGACTTGTAAAAAATATGAAAAGGAAGTTTAAATACCCTGTGTTGTTCCAAATATATTGAAACAGTCAAGGTGAAAATATTCAAGGATAGAAAAAACCTCACCTAAAATAAATCACAATACACTATTTATACATCTTGGGGGGGGAGGGTGCATGTGTCCTGCTTTACCATTTTCTGAATTATTTCTATGAAACATATTCTTTCACTGAACATGATACTAAGTTGGAAGCCAGCAGGCATTATAAGTACATATGTCATCCATAATCTGCAGTACTAGAATTACAGGCTCATAAAATGAAAACCCTATATTTGAAAATCTAGGTCATTATGGTTGAACAGTTTGTGCTTTAATCCACTGATACATCTCCCTGGATCTGGGAATGAAATATGCTTGCTGGTGTGTGTGTGTGTCTGTGTCTGTGTGTGTGTGTGTGTGTGTATGTGTGCATGCAACTGTGTGTGTATACATTTTTGCTTGTTCTTATTAGGAATAAAATTGTTCAAGTCAGGAATAAAATTTTGGGAGTTGTTTTTTTTTTTTTTTTTTCTTTTTCCATTTCTGTCCTAGAAATAGAACTCAGATTTTCAATTTTTTTGAATAAAAGCTTATACTAAATGTGAAAACTTGCTGTCTGCTCTACTTCCTTAACTTGGGAAAAGATAGAAGGACCGAAGGGTTATTAATAATGGGTGAGATAAATTTATGTCTTTAGTAAAGGAAAAAGTCCCATTTAAAAAAAAAATCATAGTTTCTGTTACTATGTTTTAATTGATTTTTCCAAAATATAAGACATAATTTCAATAAATATAAAACCTAATATTTTATATACTTATTTTTAGTAATTTCCCTGGCCTATTAACTCTTCCTAGCTTTTATCCAGAATATTACATAATATTCCACATTGACTTGGAAGCTGAGAACTCTTTTACTCTTTGAAGGCACTGTTTATACCCAAAAGTTTCTGTGTTGTATTTAGACTAAGTTATTATTTTCATTTTTATCTCTTTCCTTAGGATGTTGCCTTTAAAAATGTAGATTTAATGACACTGTTCTGATTTTCCACTAAATGGGAACAAGGTGAGGTTGTTTCCTTGAACTACTCCATGAAAACATTGTATTAGAAATGCTGGCCTACACAATAATCAAGATAAATAAATAATGCATATATAATATATATAATAAATAATGCATAAAAAAATCAAAGGCAATAAATACATTTCTACACTAAACACCTAATTTCAAGATTAATAAAATAACTTCTAATAGTAATGAAGTTTACCATATAGAATTAGCAGAAGATCCTTCTCTAATCCTGAGAAGACAATTGTCCAAGAGTAGTGAAAACATGTGCTGAGAAATGTCTACAAAGAAATATTGATTGACAGCACCCATTGTGTAGAATAGAATATTATCAGCAAGGCATATTACATATCTTTAACAAATATGTAATTATTTATGAACTATACTTGTATATATTTAGAGCTAGCTATTTATGTATATATGCATGTAATGAAAAACTTACATGAAGACCTTTATAACACATTTTACTTATAATCTCTAAAAAAAGGAAACCATCATATTAGTCACATCCAGACAGCATTGAGTACATGATTTTCTTTCTGTTTTATCTGAGTAATATATTTTATGAACTAAATTATTCCTTGGTGATTTCCCTAACATAGTTTTTCATTTTCACCAGAAACATTACTCTACATGTAAATTTGGTAAAAATAATACATGTATTTATTTGTATATATATATACATGAATGAATGAATATATGTCTGTGAGCCATTAAGTTGAGCAATGCAGCAGGGGTGGAACGGACTTCTCTGACATGCTATGGATGGGTTGATTAAGTACGGTTCCTGGTATTTGGATTGGAGAAGAAAAGTACTAAATCATGCAAGTTGTCCTTTGACCTCTTGAATTGTGACACACTCAAGTTCTCAAATGAGGCTTATGGGGTTGGATTGGCATATTTGTTATAATTATAATACTTATATTATAATAGTTAAAAAACTTCAAAGCCTTATTTCGTGATTATCTTTAAATATTCATAAATAACTGTTCTCCAGTACTCATAGATATCAAAATCCATGATGATCATTGGAAAAAAATTGTTTTTCAATTGAAACAAATACATGTAAAAAGTCTTGGCATTTTTATGGCAATAAAGTGGTTTTGAAATATATAAAGAATAGAAATCATCATTAACTGTACCAGTCTGCCCAATACTTATTAACTTGCTGAAAACACTGATAGATGAATGATTGAGAAAATATAGGATAGTTTCAAAAGATTTTCAAGAGCTCTTTTCTTTACAAATGGAGAAAAATAATTCTTTGATGAAGAAACTAGCATATACTAACCTAATCAAGTGATCAAGTATTCATTCAATCAACGTTGGTAAGACAGTGTCAGTATCATCGACTGTTGTTAGAATAGAGTGAAAATGAAATAACACATTAAGATATTCTTGCTCAAAATATAGAACATTATTTTTAATCCTGAGAAAAATGCCAAAAATACAAGATATTTTACCAAATATAAAACTATGTTTTTAATAAATTTCAAGGTATGGATACATTATGTAAGAGAGAACAGAGAATAAAGAGGCAATTAAAATAGGGTGAACTGAGTGGGATTATTCATGTAATAATTGTGAAAGTTAAAAAATAATTAATATAGAAGTATAATACTCTTCCGAATTAAAAAAGTAAATAAAATAGAAAGATGTTGAAAAAGTAACATTGCAAGTAAGGAAACACAATGGTGAAATGCAATGAGAAATTTTAGATAGGTTCATGAAAGTGAACTTAAACATCCTGTAAAAACCGGTTATATCTTCCTGTAATTGTAGTCTAGTTAAAGACATTAGATAAAGAAATTTCTTAAACTTTGAAATAAAACTGTATTTAAATATTTTTCAGAGGACTCTACATGAAAATTATCTTGTAACAGTTCTCTTGGATGAAAATTATTTCAAAATATAATTTAACTGATTAGTAAGAAATTTACCAATGATATTTGTTACTGTGAAAGTCAAGATGAAAGTCAAAAGATCCAAATGTCTTACTGTTAATAAACTTTATAACTTGTTTCCTACTTTGTAAAAGGAATGTAAAACCAAGCATTGTGATCTACCTATGTAATATTAATACTTAGGAATCTAAGAAAGGAAGATGGTTATATGTTTGAAACCAGCTTGGGCAGCAATATAAATTTTAATCCAGTGCTACTTAATATTTTTAATCCTATGGTCCTTTAATATTATTCCTTATATTGTGATGACCCACTCCTGTAAAATTATTTTGTTGACACTTCATAACTATATTTTTACAGTGGTTTGAATCAAAAGAAATACAGGATATCGGATGTGTGATCCCTATGAAATGCTGAATGCCAGAGAGGTCATGAACTACATGCTGAGAACCACAGATCTAGCCTATCACGAATTTCAGATTGTGATCGTTTCTAAGAAAATCTGGCCTGGTGGTGGGGCGAATGCCTTTAATACTAGCATTCGGGAGGCAGAGGCAGCCGAATCTTTGTGAGTTAGAGGCCAGCATGGTTTAAAAGAGCTAGTTCCAGGACAGGCTCCAAGATACAGAGAAACCCTGTCTGGAAAAAAAAAAAAAAAAAGGCACGAGGGGTGCACCCACACACTGAGACAATGGGGATGTTCTATCGGGAACTCACCAAGGCCAGCTGGCCTGGGTCTGAAAAAGCCTTGGACTTCCCACAGAACAGGGAGCCCTGATTGCTCTTTGAGCCGATTAGGGAGGGGGACTTATCAAAGGAAGGGGAGGGAAATGGGAAGAGGTGGTGGGGAGGAGGCAGAAATCTTTAATAAATAAATAAATAAAAAGAGAAAAAAAAAGAAAAGAAACAAAGAAAGAAAATCTGTAAGATAACATAAAGTAAATACACATATTAATTTTTAACGGAAATCAAGACCAAGAATAAACAATCCTCTGAATATGGACTAGAAAATAAATGGCACAGATACATGAAGACAGGGGTTTCTTTAATAAAACAAGAGAGAGTAAATGTTGACTACATATCTATCTATGCTAGTTTAGTTTGAATAGTTGTATTTTATAATATTTTTGAAAATGTATTATAATTAAGAATTTCTCCATTCATATATAAACTTTTTCCTTTCAAATCCATGACCTCTGTTTTTATTAATTGCTCTTACACACACACACACACACACATACACACACAAATATGTACAGATTGTGTACGTGTACACATATGCTTATATACATGTTTTCAGAATTGACCATTTGGCATTTGTTACCACTT